ACACGGTGCAGGGTCTCGGCCAGGCGCACGCAGTAGTCCAGGGCCAGGTCACGCAACTGTAGCTCAGCGGTCTGTAGAATGTGCAGGGCGCAATTGACGCCGGCTAGGTGAATGAAGAAGATCAGGGAATCAGAAGAAGCACCGATGATGGTGGCTGCGGCTGAGCCAGAGTCGCTAGCGGCAGCGGCGGCGGGGATGAGGAGATCGCAGAGGCCGGCAAAGGCGTTCATGCCTGCCTCATGTTGGGTGGAATCGATCATATCCAGACGGGAACTGTCCCAAGAATTAACCTGTGGAGAGAGAGAGAGAATTATGGGCGACATGAGGACGTGGAGGTCGGAGAAGCAGTCTACAAAAGTCAGGTGGCGTGAGCAGCGTTCACTTACCTGGTGGCTTTGTGACATAGATCGGAATACAAGCGTTCCCCTTCACTTTGGGACGCTACGAACATGTTATGTGTGAAACTTAATCCTGTCTACATACATCCCGCAGAACAAAGAGGGCAAGAAAGAGACTTGGTAATAGGTGTCTCTGTGCATATCAATTGTAAGTGGATAAGAGGAAACTTCTTGGAGGGTATGGACAGAAAACAAGCCGAATACTTAAAGGCGAAGATAAGGAAAACTAAAGGTATAATCCACTTTGGTAACTTGCGTCTCATCCGTTACGATCAGGAAAAGAGATGGGGGCGAGGCAGAGTCCGAAGAAGAACATCCAATTCCATATTATGGTGTCCAAGGAAATACAGGACAATCCACAAGATGCTGTACCTTCTTGAAGGCTATCATTGACAAATAGAACTGATAAGAGTTCACTCCCGGCAGAACCAAGTTAAATACACTGCGAGCTGTACATTTTTCATTCTTTGACGATGAGCTCGCGGAAGGGTTCGAAAGGTCGAACAAATAAACCCCTGGTCCCAGAGAACGTCTTACCTTCTTCTGAGTGACAAGAGTAAAAAAGGCTAAGTGGTAGACTTTGCACGGCTCTTTGGGTATAAATCTATGCTGAGTAGAGTTTTAAGGTTGACTAGCTAGACGGAAACCAATACTTTCATTTAAAAAATTATATTTTAGAGAAGTGTTGTTAAAGGCTGGCTTTTAAACAAGCTGTGACGGTTATAAACATCGGATCGGGATCCAGACTTGAAAATGGAAAGGATAAATGTTTTTTTCTTCCTGTGTTGGAGAGGAATATGTTCGCAATATAAACAAAGAGTTTAGGAATACGAAACCTAGGTCTAAAGCCTGTTTAACAATAGAGTTCGGGATACCACCCGTTCCCAATTAGTGTGAGTTTGTAAACATATCATGTGTTTCCGAATTTGATCCAAAGAGACCTCGACTGTTCTGAATATTCAATCTGAAGGTGGACGAGTGGATCCGACTCAGCAGTAAAATGCTCTGCCTTGTCAGTCACATCGATAAGGAAGATTCCATTGTCATTTGGTAAAGTGGGGAATTCGTGGCCAAGGACAGGTGAAGGACAGCTTTAACGATGATTTTGGTGGAAAGGGTACCAGCTATGGATAAAAATTTGGGTTTTCCCATCCACAGGCGATTTGCCCTTTAAAACAATAGCTAGCAACCTTTAAATATATATTCATCACAAGAATAAACCCGTGGAGAGAATAATAGGCGACATGAGAAGCGTTCACTAATCTGACTTCATTACACAGCTCAGAATTCCGCCCCGCTTTGGCACACTACGAACAAACTCGAGCGGTAAACCGCTTGTTCTACCGCCTATCAAACATTCTCATGGTGGATAACAAAAGCAAGTGTTGTCCAAAAGTCTGTCAATATTCCCGTGTTTAGCTTGAAAAAGTCTATTTAGCAAATTCATCATTCATCATTGGACCTGCAATTATAATGAAAGTATGGCGAGTGCTGCATGAAACATTCCGCAATTTGAAAAACACCGGTAAT